CTATCCGCCTACTAGCAATACTTTCTCGGCGCATCCACAGATTTCGAGAGCACCGTATTCATCGGTGCTCCAAACGAACTAACCTTTTTCCTCTCTGTATCTATCTTTGGTTGGCTTAAGATTAATGAACAGAGAATTGCAAACGGGCTTTAAAATCAAAATCAAATTCCAGCTCGTAAGACCATAGGTATCACAATAATTATAAATGATCATTAAGCACATAGGACCATCGAGTTCAAGCAAATGCCACGCTCAAAGCATACCAGGTATTGATAAAACAGCAAAAACGAACAGAAAAAGAAAATCGTAAAACATCCCAAAACATCAAAATCAAACCTCATCGTCAACCCCAACACTCTCGTGGTGGGTAGCAACCTCAGCCTTCTTCTCACCGGCATCATACTCAAGTTGCTCAGTGTAGTTGACGGAAGGAACCCATCCGACCGAGTTCCAAGCCCGAGGAACCTTAGCGTAAAGCTCATCCACCTGCTCAAGGGAAAGACCCTTGGTCTCATAGATGCAAGTGTAAACAAACACAGTACAGATAAAGCAGAATCCACCCCAGATGAAGAACACCTTGGACCCGAGGTTGGCATTTCCAGGCCCGCTGTTGACCATGTACGGCGTGGCGTAGGCAATAGCCCAGTTAAGCAGCCAATTGGTGGCGGTGGTAATGGAGAGACACTTGGCGCGAGCCTTGAGGGGGAAGAGTTCACCCGTCACGACCCAGGCAACAGGACCCCAGGAACTGGCGAAGAAGAAGATGTAGATGCACACAAAGGCGATGAGGACTTTGTTCGAGACCTCTGAGTCGATGGCAGTTCCCACAATCGCGACAATGAGTTGCGAGACGCACATTCCAACAGCGCCGAACAGGAGCAAAGGACGACGACCCCATTTCTCGACCATGTAGAGACCTGGGAAGGTGGAGACGACGTTAATGATGCTTGTGATCAGGGTTATGACGAATGAGTTGGAGATTCCCGAGTTCTGGAAGAAGGTTGTGCCATAGTAGAAGATGAAGTTGACACCAGCAAGCTGCTGCAGACCCTGGACTGCGCAGCCGGTTGCGAGACGCTTGCCGAGGGATCCACGGACGATCTCGAGGTAAGAAGCCTTTCCGAGACGCATTTCAAACTCGTGGTTTGCCTGGATCTCGGCGAGTTCGGCGACGATGGCGGGGTCTTCCACGTCCATGTGACGGAGACGAGCGAGGGCCTTGGTGGCTTCTTCATAACGGTCTTGTTTGATCAGGAAACGGGGAGTTTCGGGGAGGAGAAGCATGCCGACAATGAGGATGATGGCCCAGGCAAACTGGATGGAAATGGGGATTCGGTAGCAGCCAGTATCATCGCGGTCCTTGGTGGAGTTGTTGACGATGGCGGCGAGAAGGAGACCGATTGTAATGGCGAGTTGGTAGGCGCCGACGATTGTGCCACGGATCCATTTGGGGGCGGTCTCGGATTGGTAGAGGGGGATTGTTGCGGAGAGGAGACCGACGCCGAATCCAGCGAAGAAGCGGCCGGCTACGAAGAGGGGGATGGAGGTTGAGATAGTTTGGAGGATGACTCCAAAGACGAAGACGAAGCTCTCCATGATCATGCCCATTCGTCGACCGAACTTATCGGCGATAGGGGCGGCACCAAGGGCACCGAAGAAAGTTCCTGCTGAAAGAAGAGAGACAATCATTGATGATTGAGAGGATGTGACATCGGGAAGGTGGTCTTTTTCATTGATGAAGCCGGTTGAGAACATCTCGCGCCACTTCTTCATGGCGAGGATACCGCTAATGGTGCCTGTGTCATATCTAGATAGGTGTTAGACTTGTCTTTGGGAATAGGACTATAGAATGTGAGTGGGACCTACCCAAAGAGAACACCACCGAATGCAACAAATAATCCAATCATGATAGCTGGGGCAGCAGAGCCCACGGCATCATCTGGCCTCTTCAAAGCGAAGCCCATTGTGAATTTGATCAGAGAGACGGAAGTTCAATCCAAGCAGGTGTGTGTATATTGTGGGAGAATAGGGGAAATGTAGTAGAGAAGACTGATTCAGTAGAGAAGAGTTGAAGAGAATAGAGCAAGTGAGTTGTGCAAAGAAGAAACCTGGAGGTCAATCCCCTCTATTTGTATTTCCCCAGTCCCCAAATCCTCAACCACATGGACACCAGGCCCGGGGAAATTTGCAATCAACAAACCCCGAAAACAGCGTGGGGTGGAACCAATTGGACCTAAGGTGAAAAATTTGCTTCCCAGAATAGCTATTTCCCCATTCCCTCGGATTTCAGGATGTTTTGGGCCTGGGGATAGAGTTCGACCGAAAGTGGAGAGACCAATGGTAGCTGAGTGGACTCAGCCCCCGGAGTCATCCCGGGCTAGTCATTGGTTCAACTCAAATTGGCTTGCCGAACCGAGTTTGTTTTCTGTTTTTGCCCTGAACCTTGTGTTTTGCTTTGCACTTGCTTTACATTTGCCTCAAACAGCAGCGCAAAACTGTACATTGAGAACATAGAATGTACACAGCATTGCATTGGATAGTTTTTGGACAAATCCGGTGTAAAAACATGTTATAGGAAAATGGGACGAAAATAGCCTCTGCATGCCACATGACAAGCCGAAAACAGGGGGGGACCGGGCTAGGCTGATGCCGATCGGTCTCGGCGTCCCGCATCGGGAGAAAAGGAAACGGCCCTGGATTTTTTCCTCGTATAATTCCAACGTTATTACTCTGTCAGGGTTTTGGATTGGTTTGGTCTTCAGTACAATTGTGAGGTGCATTTTATCGAAATGCACACTTGATTGTAGTAGTTGTAAGACTGTGAGATATTTTAAATCTTCAATTAATTTCCCTTCAGGCCTTTACCCCTACCCCAGACCCAAATTTTCCCCAGAACTGCAAAGATTAAGGGCCCGAGATTGCAAGAGCCAATAAGCGAAGATGTTGAGAATCTGGTGACTGTTCACCGGAGCCAGATTGGGAAGAAAAAAGCATGCGTCCCTTGTTTCTTAAATTTCCCGTCCCGAAGTTTCACTCTGCAAGGACCGGCAAGTGTTCAAGTTGTCGAAATTGCCGGGGAAAAAATAAACGAAAATGCTAGTCCCGTGCTTTACGCAATTTTTCCCGAGTCGCGGATTGGGCAGACTACCCGAAGCTATCCCGACGTTGGTCATTCACGGTGAATCATCGGAGATACCCGAGGACTATACCTAGCCAGATCGGTGTTAGACTCGGGAAATGAATGCATGCCGGTCGATACTAATCTTGGCCAAGAACCCTGGAAGTGGCGCAGGTCGAGAGCTTAGCTCTAGCCACTTCCACTTTTTTCTTTTTTTTTTTTAATTCACGAGGGTGAGGTGAGTATTGGGACCAGATCACACGACCACATCAGAAACTAGGACTACTACACCAGTTGGGCATGGGTTCCGGCAAATGCTTGTCTATGATTTTAATGCTCGCTAAAGAGAAAAAAAAAAAGGGGGGCGGGCCAGACCAGCTACCAGCGCCAGATCACAATAAAATACACTGTCAGCACCACTTGTGCCACAAACTTGATGGAAAGGTACAGATCCCGAGCGATGAGCGACACCGTCGATCGGGAGCGGGTAGCCGAGGCGGGGCGCCATGTAGCCTTTTCCTTTGAGGCAACGGCTCCGAACTCTTCGTCCGGACCCCGATAAGAATCTTGCGGGGATTTAATGCCGGGATAGCGGGTCGAGGCTGCTATGCCATTGCGGCTAGCTAACCCACCCACCGGTAAGAGAGTAGAGCTAGACGCACCGGAGGTGTGGTAATGGTGGTGTGGGAGAGAGCGACGCTCGGTAAGAGGGAGAAGGGCGCCGGACGGGGATGGCTCTGGGGTGTAGAGGACGCGGTAGATGGAACGGAGGAGGAGAATGGAGATGGTAAGGCCCAGGATGGTGACATAGTAGAGAAAGATTCCTAGCTGGTCTGGGAGGATACAGAGGTGGTTTTGTATAGTGGGTGGTGATCCGTCCTGAATGGCTTTGCCTGTCTTGGGGTCGATTGGATTCCACAGACTGGTGAGGACGAAGCCTGGGTGACGGACTCCCATCGCCCAAGAAAAGCTTTTGACTGTGATTTCGTTGGGCGAGCCGTTGAATTCCCGATGGGATACTTCACAGTAGTCATGGTCGTCGCCGGAATACACCTGGATGACGTTGGGTCCTGCTTTGGAAACCAATTCGGTGGAAACGATTTGCGTTAGGACATTCTGGTACTGATAGCCTCCAGCGATTCTCAGAGAGTTGGGTTCATCCTCCGCCAGTTCCTCGTCTAATGAGGCAGGCGGGAAGCGTTCGCGGAGGGGGCCACAGGGGGTAGCTGGCTTCCGGTAGAGAGGGACGTGTGTAAGAATAATAGTAGGAAAGCCAAGGCCTGTGGGCTGAGGCTTTTGATGAATGACGGGCTCGACAGCGTCGACAATGCGATAATCGAATGTATGATGTCCTTCAGTCTGGTTTTGTAGCATTCGCAGCTCGTCCGTTTCCGCCTTCGCCTTGTGGATAGCCATCTTATCCAGGAAGTCATCTGCGTCTTTCCAGATCGGGCGCATGGGACGGTTTTCATCGCTGGCTGTCGAAGAGCTACCCGTCAATGGATCAGGCTGGTCCACTGCGCTGAGCGATGGGGTGTCCACTGAAACGAAAGTATGATTCCCAATGACATCCACACGGTTTGGATTTCCAAAAAAGGACTCGAAGCGATCACGGACGGGTTGCTGGATGCCGTTACCGAACCCAAGATCATGATTGCCGGGTAGACTAGCAATCATCCGGCGCCCTCGTCCATCGACAAGGGGTTTCACAGATTTCTCCCATGGGTCCAAGAAGACTTTGACGAATCGCCCAAATTCCTTCTTCCAAAAAGAGTCTTTGTACTTCTTCCACCGTGGTTCGGGGCTGCTACTTGTAGCCGTGGCCCATTCTCTGCCACCATCGAAAAGGTCGCCAAGAAACAGCACTGAGTCCGGTTCGAGATGGTCTTGTATCAAAGAAAATGACCGTCGCATGTATTGGTCGGTATATTTGACCGTCAAAGTCGACACAGGCCATGGTCGACCGGGGTAGGTATGGGGGTCAACAAGTTGGGGGTCGGCAATAAAGGCAATGTGGTGTGGTGTGGCACCTTGAGGCTAGATCAATTCAACTGTTAGCACCAGCCGAGGCAAGGAAACTGAATCGCAACAGGTATTGCACTATCTACTTACCCAGTCCTCCCAGCTATCCCAGAGGCATTGGTTGATGCTGTCTTGAAACACCGTCCGTTCACCCCACCGAATTGAGAACATCCATAGCAAAATGATGGCACTGGGTATCGTGAAGATACGTTTAAGAATCTTGACTGCCGTTGTCTTAAACCCCTCCCTCTCCCGATTTATGTCAAATCCCCAGCTAAAACTCCGGGGAAGGCATTGTTTTGCTGCTTGAGGAATGGAGTCCCACGCACGACTGATGATGTTTTGCGATCTCGACGACTGATTTTGGTTGAAGGAGGGAATGGAAGAAGCGCCCGTGCTACGTGAAAAGACGAATGTCATGTTTGGCTTAGCCTGATAGCAAGACTAAATTAAGTGACAGGGTGGCTCGACCCCGGACAAGACGGGCTGATGTTCAAAGTAAGGAATGACTGGTCATGCTCTGGGCATACAAGTGAAAGAAAACAAAAAGAATGAAAAGTGAAGAATCTCCTTAACAAAAAGGGAGAAAGTTCACAACATGGTGTTCAACTTGAAGACAGGGGGGTTTGCAGAACAGGTACGGAGTACTTGTTTTAAGCTTCGGGTCGAGATGTGTTGATCGCCAGACATGGGACGGTCACGTGCAAACCATTGGCAGGCAAGTTGTCTAGGATTTATTTACCTAATAATGGACATAGACACATTTCAAGTCTGATTCGCAAATCTTGAGTTAAAGGAAAATACAAGTACATAAAAATGAGGTTCAAAAAATACAGCGGGTCAACGGGTCTATGTCCGCAGGCAGGATGATGTTGTGTGGCATACTTTGCCATACCCCAAAAAAACCGGTCGGCCCAAGGGAGACTACATTTTCTAAAACCAACATTGAATGTGGGGGATAAACACGGCAAGTCATTGTGAGTCTACCGGAACAAAGAGGTGAAGATGAAAGATAGGGTATATGGAATAGGAAAACCGTTGGGGTGAGTTTTGGGGGGTCATGGTGCCAATTGAGAAACGGAAGTGCGTGGAAAGTCACCACATGAGGGAATGAGGTTCACTTTGGGGGGGGCAACACTGGCCTCCGTGGGAGGACATCGTATTTCACTCCAGAAGGCACGCTTGGGGGTCGCCCTCCCGAACACTGGCAGCACGACTAGGAACGTGGTCATCAGCATCCCGAGAGGATGATGCGTGTCCGTTGTCTTCCGCATCACTTTCCGGTGCAAACTCAGGTTGAATAGTGGAAGATTGAATACCGTAGGCATGGAGACAGCGTCTCACCTGTCTAGCCAGACGCATGTACCTCTCCGAGCCTTCGCCCTTGATCTCAGTACCCACTTGGAGATGAATTGAAGCCACAATCTTGGTGTCGCTAAGTTGCCAAACGTGCAAGTGGTGTGAACTGATCACACCAGGAAGGCCCTCAATGTCCTCCTTAATGTGTTCAATGCTCATACCGGGGGGCACGGCCTGAAGAAGGATACGCGAAGCGGCTTTGCACAACGGAATAGCGGATGCAAGAATGATAAGGGTGATAACAAGGGAAATACCCGGGTCGACGTAATACCGCCATTCGTAATCTGTTAGCCATATAACAAGCGCGGAAACGATCACACCAATGTTTCCGAGAGCGTCTCCCATGACATGAAGGAAGACACCACGCATATTGAGGTCGTGATTGTGACCCTTCTTTTGGTCCTTTGGCTTGGGCTGAGCATGGTTGTGAGATTTGTGGACATCTTCATCGCGGTGGTCGTGGACCTTGACCGGGGCTCCCTCCCCATCGGTGTAGTTCGTGGTGCGATCGCGGTGACTTAGAAGACCTGAGCGCTCCGATGGCATCTCATCCTCATCATTGCCATTTTCCGAATCCGATGATTGTTCATTGTGATATTGGCTGGCCGCGATAATCCCTTGCCTCAGTCTCTCTGGAAGCACGGGAATATCGTCAGGGCTCACGAATCCCGAGGTGCTGTATCTTCTGGAGCCACGGGACTGGGTGTCGCGCCGTTTTCGGGATTGTTCCGTCGTAGAATAGGTGAGGGAGTTTGAGGGCAAGCTTGCAGGTCCGCCAAAACCAGCAGTAGCCCCTGGGGTGTTCTCACTCTCATCAGCGATCGGTGTATGGCCGTGGTCGTGGTCATGATCACCAGCCTCGATGTCATTATCATGGTCGTGTCCCTCGTTATCGTGCCCGTGATCGTGCCCGTGGCCGCCGGGCCCATGGGAGTGGTCGTGGAAAAGGGCCAATCCAATGATATTAGAAGCTAGGCCGAAGCAGCCAACAATGCAAACAAATCGAGGATTCTGCACTTCCTGGGGTTCATACAGTCGCTGAGTTGCCTCCAGGAAAATCGACATGCACAGAGCGACTAAGAATACGCCATTAACCAAGGCACCAAGTGTCTCCGCTCGTTGCCACTGCGTACGAAATCCACATGTCAGATCATCCTTGCGGGGTAATATTGACCATCAACTTACGCCGTAGGTATAGGTATTGGAGGTAGTCTCTCGATTTGCAACCTTGACCGCCCATAATCCGACACATAATGACAATACATCATTAAGCTATTCACATTAGTTTCATTTGGAAAGCAAGATCGTAGTTGGTGGCGTACCATATGGAAGGAGTCGGCAACAAGAGCGAGGGAGTGAACGGCATATCCTAGGAAAAGACCGTCAGAAGACGGTCGCACACGATCAATCCGTCAAGATGCGAACCAGTGATTAATTCAAGCAAGAAAAATGCTGTGTCGATGACCAGCAGGATCAATATCCTATTCGTTTTGGATAGCCCCATGATGGTGGCTTGACGTTTGCGGCGCGCTCAGTCAGAGCTATACGAGGGGGGGGGGGGAAGATAGTATTCGAGTAATCAGCAGGTATTGGAGAACCTTAGAAATGGAGGGTAAAGGGAATGACACAAGAGTTAGACAGAGGAAGGGTTGAGTAGACGAAAAAAAACAAGAGCACCGGAGATAATAAGCAGTGGAGCTGCAAACGGTCAAAGCGGAATCGCCTCCGGTCTGGTCCGTGGTGGCGATACTTTGTACTTTTGTGGGCCTTTGTAATGTAGCCAAGCAATTTTTTCATCAACATGTCTCAAAAGCCAGGGTTTTCTTCGATTTGGAGTGGATTTGTGTCTCATTTTTTTGTCCTTGCAACTTGATCCGAGAGACCTCTGAGCCCACCTCCCGTATTCAAGATCGGCCTAGCCCTATAGGAGATTTCCCATTGGATCGGAGCTTCACCATTTTGAGCATTGCGGCGTCCGAACCAATCCATGAGTGAATTCTTTCACACAACATACAACGTAGCCTCTGATCTCGGTGCCCGATATAGGGTTTACAGTGTTGTTCTAACCAGATGTGGCTCTGTCTCCTCTAGAAATCGCTGTGAAAGAGCACCCATTCGAATAGCTGCATGGGATGCCCTACCACACCCCGAAATTATTATGAAACCAACTGGTTCCTGTGGGGCCAATCATGACAGAAGCTGCAATGCGAATTTTATATGTCAAGTTAACTTTGATTGCTGTATTTTCGCTTCCATGACCCGTGGTAGGTGTACTTCTATGATGGCTCTATTCCCGTTTATATGCTTCTCTCGGAGGGTACCCATGGACTCACTTCGCTAAGGTCTTTAAAAACCACAATCCGGGGATGCCGCACAACATGAAAGCCCTAACTCGGGTTTTCTCTGGCCTAGTACATTTAGCGCTATTCTATGCCACACAAGCGGCGTACTTTGTACAGCATTCTTTTGCAATATGAAACCTAGAATAGTGGGGCTGGCACAAAAGTACGTATTAAAGGCATCCTTACTGTGTACTCTGTACATTCCAGCGAACACTATGTTTGGATTTAGTTTCCCGACGCTATTTCTACGAAAACTCTCGCGATGACTATGCAGCATTGCAGGAACAAACAAAAATATAATTCGGCATGTGATAAAGCTTGTATCCATGCCTTTGTCAGTAACTTGGTCATACGAGCTACTTGACGCTATTAGCAATCCATGTGGGCTGGGAGAATCCTTACATAAACTAAAGTGCCACTCCCCACTACAGCAGTGTTTTGTGTACTCCGCACTCTATGGAAAAATTAACCTGCAAATTCCTGCTCCCTACAACATAGTTCAGACACATCCATTTTCCACACGACGCTATGTTGTACATGACTTGACTGGAATGTAGCGCAATATCAATTGGCCCTTTACCGGTGTTGATATAGCCATGGGGGTTAAGAGCCACACTGGATGTTGCGTTGGCTGATTTATATATCAGAGTGACGATCGTACCATGAGGCAGGATGGCAACATGTTTCACGCACCTGGCTGTTGTGACATGGGAACAAACGTGGAAACTTTGTAAAAAAAAACTAAACCGAAGCACAGAATGCAGAATTTTTGACCGTTGAAGTAATATTTGATTTGAAAGTAGTTGAAGAAGATCATTTGTTACAATGATGGATGTCATGTCCGTAGATGCTTTCAATAAGAGGGGCACCAAAAGCGGGTCCTTGTCTGATTCACCTATAATGCATATTTAGGGCAAAACTTTATATCGGCCGGCTGGCCCAATGGCAAGGCGCTTGACTACGAATCAAGAGATTGCAGGTTCGATCCCTGCGTCGGTCAATTTTTATTGAGGGCACCTTTTTTTGGTCCAAAGTGGTGCTGGGTTTTCTCCGTGTTTTTTTCTATCAGCATACGCTACCTGGTGTTATGTTGTATATCCCGTGTCGATCAATTGGGGGGTTGAGACATTGAATGTGATACATCCCTTTTGTCAAGTCCTGCGATAAAACCCACATTTCTAGCGCCTAGTACATCACCCCTCCCCCCCTCAACCACGCCATTTTAGATTTTCTTCCTACACCTACCATACGCTTCTTCGGTGATAAGATTTATGGAAAAGGGGTATCTAGGGAAAGCTATCACCTAAGCAACGTACCGGAATCTGCAGTGCTCTAGAAGCTAGGGTACCTCCCTCGAAGCTCGCCGTCGAGTATACCCATCACCGTAGTAGCACTATATACCGCACTGAAGAGCAGTTTTGGAGTTTAAAACACCTCTTCGAACCCCCATACCGGCTGTCCCCTAATCCATTAACTAACGCACCCGCAAATTGATTTCAATCAAGAGGTCACCGGGACCCTCTGTAAAGGATGACTCTTTGCACAATTCCGCCTTTGTAGTCTTGGGCCTTTGTTGGTGCCTCACAACCCTTTGTTACGGGATACCCTTTATGCCTCAGGGACTTTGGTTTCGTCATTTCTAACCACTCTACTGGTAGGAATATTTCGAAGGATCTACAACAAATATAAGCGTCATCGTGACATGCACGGTAATAGGGAGTTCATTGAAGGACCGGTCCTCTTGGACTCCAGGAGTAACTTGCTCTGAACAAGACTTCAGTCTCTGTAAGAAGAATACCATTCTTCGCTTCCTGTCTTCGCTGTAACCTCGCTTGACCAGCGGGAACTAGCCTGAAAACTAGCATTCGATCCTTACACACAGGTGCTATGTTCTGGTAAAATAGCTTGTATGTACCTACACACTGCTAGTATTGCAGGGGAATTTTTCGAATGATACAAGGTATGTGTCGAGGGTTGGCCTCTATATTTCCCCGATCTCAATGTCAAGAGAACTAGTTTCCAGGTCACAGTGGAGACAGGGAGGCTACGTATGGTATTCTTCATACAGATACCAAGTCTTGTCAAGAGCAAGTTTTTCCTGAATGACCATGGATACTCCCTATAGTCGTGCATGTCATAATGTTGCATCCACAGGTCCTCCGAACTACTTACATGAGTGGAGTTGTTAAAAATGACGAAACGATTACCGTGCCAAGCGCCACAAAGGGTTCCAAGGCACTAAGTAGGGCCTGAAGTTGCAAAGGGATTACCTTTTACACTTGGCCCTATTAAGCTATCTTGGTGGCTATTAAAGGTTAAGTTGCTACAATTATATCCTAAATAAGTAGAGATAGGTAGGGGATAGGCGGACTGGACGCATGTTAAGAAAGCTATAATCTGCACATAAGATATACTCCATGCTTGATTGAGGTACAATTGAGAACTTGATCCGCTCTGTACCTAGGAGATTGCTTGCTACGTGTGAGGCAAGGGGCTGCTGTTATTAAAACTAACATATTTTTACTATATTGATCGTATTAAATATAATTACGTGGTCGACGTACTCCACCGCCGAGTGGTCCAGCGCAAAACCCTTGGTAAATTCAATTTATTCTGTGTTTATTTCTGAACAACAATGCTTTGGATTTAGCTCTGTTTTTGTCGATGATCATAGATAACACTCATCACCACCATACGTCAGTCTCTGGGGAAGTATAATGTTATATAATCATCGTTCCGAAAATTAACCAAAATCACACAGACAATTAATTACTGTTCATGTATATATATAGAGGAGATTTGAACCATTCTTTGAACCCTCCGAAAGAACTACAAATCACCTAGAATTTGGGACGCTACATGACGGACCCCCACAAGCCATCGTTGTTGAGATATCAAGTTGTAATCTCTCGCATTTGCTTTGCGCTTTGTGTTGGACCAATCGGTAGTGAAATACGTTATTATGATGAGGTGCGAATAAAAATCGACGGTCGCAGGACTTGTCAACATAGGGTGTAGATGGCCTATAAAAGGGTTGTTCGAAACCGGCTCAACCTTTGTATAACCTTTCTTTACTTGGGAATGGATTGGTCGCGTCAAGGCATTTTGCACAGCAAGAAGGAACTAGCACGCTGGTCGACATTGATCTAGGGCCTCATCCTTCACTTATGTAGTCACAGTCTGAAGCCCCCTCCATCTCCTTTGGTAAGATGGCCGAGTTGGTCTAAGGCGCCAGGTTAAGGTATACCTTGACTCCACAACTAGCAATAGTTTCCTGGTCTCGCAAGAGGCGTGGGTTCGAATCCCACTCTTATCATATACTTTTTGAATGAATTTTTAATTCACTTGACTCACTTTTCGTGCAATTGGTGAAGATTGTCAGTCAAAAATCGTGCGCGTGAGGTGGGTTGCTTCATCAGGAAAAGTTTCTTTCAAATTTTCGCCTCCGTTCCTCCGTACATAAGTTGTATATCGGCATGTGCATGCCTCACCTTGACCCGGAATGTCGCCACTGGCCAGTATGTTGTATAGGTTGGATATGAGAATTATCTTGTATTTCATTTGGAGTAGACGACGGGCGGCTAAAGCCTCTTCCAAACCTCAAGGACTCTCTTAGTCGCTGCAGAAATGCCTCTTGTTCCAGTGACCTATCTTCCAATGCGGCAAGCAGAGCATTATGTATATCCTCTCCCTGCATGACATCCCTCCTAGCCGCAAGTAAGCTATCAACACCAACCTATGCAGCCAACAATCGACGAGTAGCCTGGCCGCCGAACGCCCCTAGCACACCTTCCTCCATGGCATCATTTATAGTGACACCTGTGAAGCCAAGTCTACCCCGCAACTCATTTTGGACAATGGCCTTAATTAGCCCGGGGTAAGTCGGGTCCAAATTAGAATAGACAGCCCTCGAAGCCATGGCCATGTCCACACCTGCTGCGACGGTCTTAGTTAACAGCGTCATATCCACCTTGCACAGCTTTTTGATGGTTAAGTGAATATTTACGGGCTGCAGATCGGTAATCTCGCTTGCACATGCTGCACCAAGGCCAGGGAAGTGCTTAGCAGATGTAATAACACTGGCCGACCATGTGGCAACGACGCGGTGTGAGTTGCTGAAGTAGCAACAGGAGGCATCGACAGAGTCTCCGGTTTCGCGACTCACATCCAGTCAGGCGCGACATTGAAGTTGATTTTTGAATGTCTCAAGGGTGTTCGCGGCATCTTTGCCCATCTGTGTCACTGCGGCATTCGGCACCTTGGCCGATTTGCTTAGCACTTTCTACTGGTATACCGGCTAATTGAAGCACTTCTCCGCCTTCTTGGTGGGTCATGATGAACAAGGGACTACCTGGATAGCATGGATCCTGTCTATAGGTCTCCTGGAAATTGCCGATTGTGTAGATCTTTAATGAAGATTCCTCAAAGGGGAAATCCTGCATAGCCCAGATGAGTCTTGGCATGATTTTAATGGTCCTCAGCATGGCATTTGAATTGATTGTTTCATATCAAATTCTTTATCAATGGTAGAGATTCGAAAAAAACGTGCTGATTGAAGTTCCCTTGTCTAGGCTTTTGTAAACGGCGACTACCTACACCGTGCGTTTGTTGTAGATAGCCATCGAGAAACTGAGCTATGTAGTAAGCGAAATTCTATCTCTCGGCCGGAATAGAGAAAAAAGGAAGGGAAAAAGGCTATGACTGGTGTTTTGGAAGCGAGTAGGATTTGAGATTCGGGTACACAGGAAAAAAATGAACTTGTTGAGTGCTCAATGCTCAAAACCTCAGGTGCGGCTTCTTTATGGGTTTGAATAAATGGCCACCTGGTAATTCTCCAAGGTTCCAACTTGCAGGTGGGAAATCTTATAGCCATGAATAATCACCTCATCTGGCCCGGGGCCTTGCCAAGGACTTGTTAAGAGGTACACAGCCGCCACACAGCTTGAAATCAGGTGCCTTTTGACTAGAATATTGATACAAATATACTTGGCACCTAACTGGTTAACATTACTACTACCAGACTTCGGATTAGTTGGACGTGTAACGGGGTGGTGACCATATGGGAGATGAAAAGAACCGCGATACGGGACGGCTACGTCGGGATCGAGAGGTGTAACGTTTGGTAGCTGTGCCAGTACCAGACAAATACCTGGCCAGCCATTTCAAGGTAGTGATGCCACTATGCTGAGCCTTTCCGAGGCTTACTTCAGATCTAATAGGCATGACTACGCTAGGCGGTCGATGTTGCAACGAGCCATTCAAAGTATGCGAAAGTAAAGATTTGCTAGTGCTTTTATGAACCACCGTGATGCAGCGTCGAAAGGAATAACGTGGTTGTAGGATGTTAAGCCCAGGGAACCAAATAATAGAGGAAAGGCAGCGAAAAATGTCATATTCTGGATATCCGGTCGTGGTCAGGCGAATTGATTGCTGCGTGACACGCGTTGTAGTTTTGTTTTCACCAACCGACTGGAAGATCCCCCCAAAAGATCCACCAAAAATCCATTATAGCTGTCCGGTTGAAACCCATAGATTATTAGTAGATGACCGGCGTTGTGAACTAGTAAGAAAAGCAGGTGCCAGAGTAACCCGAGGAAAAGGCTCGAAAGAGCTGTGAGGGATGGATGATGACATATGTAACTATACGTACCGATTTTCCCTGGTGGGTGGGGCTTTCCAATTTGAGCTGCCGCCGCTTTTATGAGGGTGCTCGGGCTCAGATTGGTGATCATACTCAGTTCAGTCACGTGCAGAATCACTGATGCTCAGTAAGTGCTCAGTGAGTGCTCATTGGATTCTCAGTGTCCAATCAGTGAGCAACACTGATGCCCTCAGCATGCCGCAGGCTATACCCAGAAGGGATTAGCCCCACAGGGTAGTTCATACCGTGATAGTTAGGTCGTTGATGGCATTGCTGCTGCCCTCATTTTTTGGAGCACTACATCCCACCAAGAAAATACGTCGTGACCAAGTGGCGCAGGAAAGAGCGGAGAACTCCGTCCGTTTCAGGATGTTGTCTCCCTCTGTCTTCTAATTGAGAGCGGCTCGAGCTCAAAGTCTTGGATATAAAAGCAGACCGTATGCCAACATTAGTATGTAATTATTCACACGCCTTCTATTCAAAAATCTTTTACCTGGTACCCTGATCTAATTTTTGCTAAGCGCGACGAGATTGCTGAGACGAAACGCTGTCTACAGCGGGAAAGGAATAGCTATGTCCCTGGAGCCCATAGACAGTAGGACTTAATTCGGGAGAAAGACAAAAGGCTTCCCAAGACCAAAAGATTACATCATGAAACTATAAATCTTTGGCTGAAGTGAGTTCAAGCCGCATCTGAAGTGGCAATCCCTTCCCGTTCATGAATAAGGCTGACCTTCCCTTAGTTTCACTGCAGACCCAGAGAATTGGTTTGAATATTGAAAAACTTCCCTTGGTTGTTCGGCTCCAAGTCATGAGATGATCAAGGAATTCATCCGCTGGTACACAAGTTCTATTCAAGGACGACTGAACGAGGATGAGCTACCCACGGTGAGAACCGTGAGTGCGCATGCAGAACGATTCTTTGGTGGATTTGAACAATTCATAAAAACTAAAATCGTCCCAGATGATCAAAAGGAAATAAAAGCGGTTGGTTTACTCGCCATTTCCCCTCTGAGATCATCACAAACAATTCTTACCTCGAAATAGTGGATAAAAAAAACTTGACAGCAGATGGCATCATTGTGGACCAAAAGAAGGAGAAGCTCAACTTCACAAGGCAGGATTTTCTGAGAACAGTCTCGTCTTTGTGGCAGATAGATCACCAAACATTTATTCCTGGGTTGCTCAAGGTCGTCATCTTGTTCGCTCTTCAACTGTACCTCTTTACTGGAGCAAGAGTCGGATCTTTCATACCCTCCAGCGAGGACAAACATGAAAGGGGTCTTCGATACAAAGTAAGGCTCCTTAATCCAGCGATATATATCTAATATTAACCTTGGTTCCAGCATATTGACTTGGTTCTATTCCCATCATCTACGGCTCCTTGGGCGGTGGGATGGAGGGTCAATCAGGTGTGGCTCAAGAATAACCGATGTCCACAACACACTGTGTGAGTTAGAAAGGGCCCAGTGGCATGATTATTGGATGTAAGAGAATTTGCTAATGGGTACTTCTAGATTCGGGATTGGTATCCGGGACAGCAACAGACCGCAATTTGCGTCGGGCTACCTTCTTCTCTCCCTCGCGCTGGCACACGGTGCTCTCTTTCAGGTAAGCACCGTGGACGATCTAGCACAATTTGATCTTTCAAATGGAGAGATACCTTTGCGATGGAAGACCGAGTACTTGGAAAATGACATTTGCACGCGGGCTCAAATGTTGGTTATGCCAGAGGTTGCGCGAATTGCGACAGCCATGTCCTGCACCAAAGAGCTCTCTTTTGACGAAAAACTTCTTTTTGTCCAAGATCTACAAACACGATGTACCCGTGATTTTTATGTGGTATACCTCCCAAATGAAAGCCTAATTCAAGGGGTTTGTCCTGCAAAAGGTTGCCAAATCAATATTGGAAGGTGAGTGCCCCGATTCAATGACACTGCCAATACTAACTCTGCTAGTCTGAGGAAATGTGATAGAAGTGCCCACATTCACGAATGTGTCCGCCGTGAGAAAGCTTTTGACCTTCAAGTATCAGATTCAAGCATGCGGTTTTGTTATGAATGCATGGAATGGTTTTTGTCAAGTCAGTGGCGGGACCATTGTGATGCCCATCTCCAGTCATGGCAAACCCAGCACTGCGAAGTAATCATATATCGCCATACCATCATTCGCCCCGGCTACTGCCCCTTTTGCTTATGGGACCCGGAGCTTTTTGCGGAGGACAGTCTGCGATACTGGCTGCGAAGTGATAACCTGAGGGAGCACATTGAAGGGCAGCACTTGGCTAGGATTCGGAATTGTCAGACAAAGCCGCTATGCGGATGCTCTCAAACCTTCCACAGTGAGCGTGACCTTCGGCATCACTTGCACGACGCGCATGGGCTAAAAGAAACCATATGGCAAAATCCAAAGCTACCCAATAAGAGAAAGCGCGCTTGCAAGGGGGAGTCACAAGCTGTTCAACAGAAACAGAAGAGGAGCGTCCTAAGAAAATCCAATTCCATCACTACCTACCTCCACGTCATGAACGTGAGCACTGTGTGTCAGAAAAATCATCTGCCACCGTCCCGGCCTTGCTTTCGCTTGTCGGAGAAAATCAGGAACAATCCTCCCGCCATAGTATGTGTGACAAATCCAGCATGAGCAGCAGAAGCAACTCACTGGAACTATGCTTCTCGGAGGCGGGTTCTCCACTTAGCTCGGGGCCAACAACACCAGGTCTTGAGGCTATCGATCCTCGAATCATCGAGCCTTTTGAATTCAACAAGGAGGATGCACGCCAATCTTGTGATCAAGCTGCTGTTCAGCTGAATTCACTCAATCTCCCACCAGAAGAGGGCGAAATCACAAAAATGTCTGTCAGTGGCATAGAACAGCCGCAACTTCCCACCCCAAGCTTTGCCAGTCAGCCTCCTGGACACTGTGCTGTCAATGAAGCGAACGAGGAGAGGAAAGTCTTGCAAGATTGTCTCACCTCTATGTCTGCCTGCGACCAAACTGTTAGCGCGGAACATCAGTGTGAGAGTCATTTAAAAACACAGGAAAGGAAGAAGGCGGCGATGAAAATCTATCTTGTGTTGATCAAACCCCTGTCAGCAGCCCTCACGGACCCCTCACTAGAGCCAAGGCAAGAACCCAACCGCCTCAGCAGCATCCAGATAATTTGAGCAGTTACAAACCCCGCCAGAGGCTTAATACAAAGGACACACGGAAGCTACGTGAGCTTAAGAGCCAGAATCTGACTCTGAGACAGATTGGGCCTCATTTCGCGGAGATAGATATGGCGTTCCTGCGACAGGCTTAGGTGGAATTGAAGCCTTCTCAGGGATGCACCAGATCACGGGCGAATCGGAAGGGCAACTGAATCATGTTTTTCAATCAGTAATGTTTTATTTGTGCTTGGTCATTATTTGTTTATAAAAACTTTGCTTTTCAGCTACGGAATCCGATTATGTGCCGATCTTTGGAAACTAGGCTCCTTGTCAGAGCCTCGGGAGATCCCTAGCTGGGCGAGAGTATAAGATCTACAACTCAGGTGGCTCTCATGCCTACCAATTCATAGTCTCGCCATTCAAGGTATAAACGTATTGTACGCTAATCTCGAGGTGCAGACACCCGTCACTTTTAGCGCAGCAAATTTGAAGCATGATGAGCCTCCGTTTTAAGTGGGCTTGCTGATAAAACTTTTAATGATAATCAATTCGTCATCTCTAGGAAGGTAACAAGGCAAACACAAGCAACTCGCGGGCTGTTCTGACGAAAACTTAATACAACCATCCTGTTACATGTAAAAAATAGTTA